AGTACTAAAGTGCTTTGTAAGAAATCACCAGATTAGTTAGATGCACAGACAGGATTGGGAATTGGGTTCTTGGTTGGGTGAATTTTCCCACCCTCTCCCATTAGAGTATAGATTCTGACAAATGCAATAGACTTTCTCAAGTATGAAGATTTCCAGTATGTTTTTAGTAACCAGGCAGCATGAAGTAACATTTTAGAAATATACTGTTTCTTTTTAAGAAGAACACTTATTTTTTATGACTGCATCATGTATAATGCAACATGAATAAAGCCTTACCGACTTTCACATTTGTGAGGAAACTAGCATTACTGCAGATTAGTGCCAGGGCAGAGAAATGACCCTATTATCTCTGTAATGGTAATATTGTGCCTCACAGGGAAACTTACATCATTAAGAGTGAGTTATTATTTTCTTGCAGACACTTTCTACATGTGTTATTAACATATGAAGCCAGAAGGACTTGAAAAGGTTTTCCTAGGGACTTCGGTTATAATTTAAAGCTTTCCCTTTTACCTGAAACAGCACGTAAATGTGTGTTGACCAGTGTTTGTAGATGCACAAACACACACACAGCTTCACACCTCCATTTCTTTGTACACATCTTTGCTTTCTACATAGAATTCCCTCTTTGTTTTCTCATCAGCTCCAAGGCCCCTGTCACTTGTGTCCTCCATCGTGGTACCACTTCCTCGATCCTTATAACAAGGTTGTTGCTTCCCTCCATGTTCCTAGAGCAGTTTGTCCCCACCACTATCACATGTTTTTGTTTGCTGATCGTGTCTTCCCATCTTTCTAACTCCCTGATGACTGTGTGCTTGTCAAAGACAAGGACTGCCTCTTTCAATTTCATATTCTAGGATGCTGTGTGATGCCTGAATATATTAGGTATAATAACTACTAAATGAATATAGATTTATTATACATAGTATGTACATTTATATGCTGCCTTGTTTTAAAAATGTGTTTAAGATGACAAAACAAATTACAAGAAAATTAGAAGGAAAGAAGGAGAAGGATGAGAAAAAAACTGGGGCGACCGTGAACTAACCCACGCCGTGAGTCTGTAAGGGTCTATGTAATGTGATTGTGAGTGCATTTGCAGTTACAAAGGAAACATGTATATGGAATTTATAATGCATATTTTAAAAATCTAGTCTGATATTTGAGCAAAAAATTGCATTTTAAAATTTTGGTTTCAGATTTCTTATTTTTCTGGGTCACACATTTTTATTAATATATACCTGTTGCTGAAGGGGGTTTGTCTGGAATACTCGTTAGTGCTACGATTCGAATGTAATCAGGATTGGGTGAAATGGAGTGGTCTCATTGGGTCCCACTGCTATGAAAACAGGATTCTTTCATATGACTGTATAGGGGCTCTTCGGTTCCTGAAGTTTTATGCTGAAACTCCTCTTACCTGTTCTCTTTCAGAAAGCACATAGTCATGGGGTAGGAATGCAAGAATGCTTATTTGAAATAATAATCTTCTCTTGGAGCAAGTATCTTTTAAACTGGGGTAGCTAAAGTACTTGTGAATTATGGCTTACCCTCTAGGTGACCTGCGTGCCAAGTTTAAATAAGCAAACATATTAAAATTGTATTCTTATTTTCTCTCAGGATTACATTTATGTGACTCTAGTAGATTTTTTGGTTGTTCTTAATATAAGACTCTTCTTGAGTCTAATTCCCTGCACGATTTTGTCGATGGAGAACAATGCCTTGTTTGCCATCTTGTTCCTTAATTAAGTGTTAAAGTAATGAGGCCTTATTATGCTGGGCAATTTACTTAATACAATGAAGCAGTTAGTCACTCACTGGCAGTTTCTCAAAGGAAGTGGTCCAAGATGCTAACCCGCTTCTTTTAGTGTGCCAGCCATTAGAACTGTGTGTTCCAGGGATTTGCTAATCAGCTGGCAACTGATTTAAAAGGCAGGAAAGACGGGACTCTTGAAAAGACGGAGTGTGTACTGGCTTCAAGCCTTGTCTATTGGCATGCAGGTCTTGCTGCTCTAGGAAAGAAGACTTGATGATGGCAAAGGGCCTATGGTGCTACCTTTCACAAGTTTGCTGCATATCATCGGCATCATTCCCTACCGTCACTTTGGTTTAGCAACTGAGAACTGCTAAGTAGAACATACTACTCCAGTTGACTTGTTTGCCTCTCTGTCTGTGTGTTCCTTTGCCCACCTGCATGTCTGTTGGTTCATCTTCCATCAGATACTGGTTTTAAGCTGTCAGTAAATGGACTGGAATTAACCTCTGAAAGAAAGCACTGTTTAGAATTGAGGTTAGCAAACTTTTTCTGTAAAGGAAGAGGTAGTAAGAATTTGAGCCAATAGGCCATGCTATCTTTTGTAATTTCTCAGCTCTGCTGTTGCAGGTCATAAACAGCCATAGATAATATATAAATGAGTGGATATGGCTGTGTTCCAGTAAAATATTGTTTGGAAACATTGACTGGTCCACTCCTGGTGTAGATAGAAGTATCTGGCTCAACATAATTTGTGTGCCACACAAAGACTTTAAAGAAATGCTTTTAATGCTCATGAGTTAAATTTTTTTTAATGTTTACTTATTTTTGAGAGAGAGAGCGAGTGAGCAGGGGAGGGGCAGAGAGAGAGGGAGACACAGAATCCAAAGCAGGCTCCAGGCTCTGAGCTGTCAGCACAGAGCCCCACACAAGGGCTTGAACTCACAAACTGTCAGATCGTGACCTGAGCCGAAGTTGGATGCTTAACTGACTGAGCCACTCAGGTATCCCTGCTGATGACTTTTCTAACACAGCTTTGTGTTCCAGGTTTGTTAGTTAGCTTAATTGTCATCTGTCTTCAGTAGTTGTGTAGATTTTAGTGTATATTTTAAATGTATTGCTGATTGAAAAAAAATTCATCTCTCTCTCTGGCATTGATTATAGAAATGTTATTGGATTGAGAATACAAAAAAAAAACAAAACCTTTCCACATCACTGATAATAGCACCATTAAATTTGATAGTTTTTAAAATCATTTATAAGTAAAATCTATATTTTTGACATGAAAACATGGCCAAGATATATTGCTAAGTGAAAAAATCATGAGATTATAGAAGACTTCTGAACAGGGTGTACAATGTGATTCTATATGTGGGAAAAAAGATTCACATGTGTTTATAAATGTGCATACTTGACTATTGTAAATATCTGAAGAGATGCTGAATGAGTCAGGATTCTTAACTTTCAAGCAGTGATTAACTCTGGCCAATATAAGCAGAAAAGATTTCTTGAAGGATAATGGATAGCTCAGTTATCTTTGGAGTCTAAGAACCAGGCTTAGAAGCCATATGTCTAAAAGCAATACCCAAAATTCCACTGCATAACTGGTTTTGCAAAGATGCCCCAGCAGCTATCAGTAGATCTGAAACTGCAGTCTTGAATTATTGATACCACTAACCCTGAATGCTGGATCTGCCTCCACTGTTACCAGTACTCTAGGATGGTTCTGGGTACTTGCTGCTCTTCTGTGTCATCAGCTTCCATTGCAGAGTCTGCATTTGATTGGCAGAGCCCACATTGTGTGCTCTAGCTGCAAGGGAAGCTGGGCAAGTGCATACGTGGACCTTACTTCTGTAGTGGACAAAGAGCCTTGCCTCATTAGATGGGGCATTTCCCTAATGTAGGAAGAGGGTTAAGAAGCGTGAATGACAGAAAGAATGAAAGCTGTCCACTGCAGACACCCAGGAAGTTGTTGGTATTGATTACGTCTGGGCAGTAGAGTTGGAAGAACTAACTGGGGTTCAGAGGGAACTGTTTATTTTACTCTTCTTTGCTCTTTAAATTAAAAAGAAAAAAAAAAGATTAAAACAACAATGATAAAAGATTACAAGGAAAGTAAACAAAAGGGCACTGTTTTTCCCCACCACTTCTACTGTTTCAGTGCTCTCACGTGGGAATCCAAGAAGGCTTCTTCTCAGCCTAACGGGGCACTTCCTACTCAATTTCATTTAAAAAATTCACCTCATGATTTTCTCTTGAATTCAATCAACTCTGTATTGCTTGTGTTTGGTTGGGCAGAAATAATCATGAAATAGCTTCCTCTATTCTTTTAGTGGCTTATTCTTCCTTTTGGCCTGGTAGAGCTGATTTAGCATATCTCGTTGAGATCTGCAGGATTCAGCTTTGGACATTAAGGTGTTGTCGGCTGCCATAGTTGAGGAAGAATTCATAGATGTAGGGTGCAAGGATAAAATAAATATTTGGCCCCACTATATATGTTTTATTTTTCAAACCTCTATAAATTTGCTTCTTGATAGAAAACTTGTCTGAGAACTTATTTCAGCCTGATCAAATTTTAGTAGACATGTTAAAATATTTTTAGAACAGTTTTAGATTTACAGAAAAGGTGTGGAGACAGTACAGGACAGTTCCCATGTACCCCGAACGCAGTTTTCTGTATTATTAACATCTTCTATTAATATGGCATATTTATGACAGTTGACACATATATTGACACGTTGTTGACCAAAGCACTTACTTTAAGATTTTCTTAGTTTTTAAAATTTTTTTTAAATGTTTATTTTTGAGAAAGAGAGAGACAGACAGAACATGGGCAAGGGAGAGGCAGAGAGAGGGGAGACACGGAATTTGGAGCAGGCTCCAGGCTCTGAGCTGTCAGCATGGAGCCTGACATGGGGCTCTAATCCACGGACCGTGAGATCATGACCTGAACCGAAGTCGGACACTCAACTGACTGAGCCACCCAGGCACCCCACGATTTTCTGTTTTTAATCAAAGTCCTTCTTCTGTTACAGGAGAGCTGATATATTTTATACATTTACATTTTACTTTTTCATATGTGTCGTGATGTCATGGGAGCCATATAATAGATGCTATTTCTGTTTTAAATAACTTAGGGAATTTGGGAGAAGAGTAAAATCAAGCTGTGCCACAGCAAAATTCTTATATTCTCTTATGCACAAATGCCACTAGAAAAAATAACTTTTTTCCCCCCCTGTTACATGTTCAGTTGAGCAGGTTCCTGTAGAACCGTACAACATCCCCCTGTCCCAGGCCGAAGTCATACAGGAAGGGAGTGATGTTACTCTAGTTGCCTGGGGCACTCAGGTGAGTAACATTTATAAGAACCGACAATGTCCATGTTGGGCTTGGAAGCTCTCATTTTTAAAAAAAAATTTTTTCTTTAATGTTTTATTTATTTATAAGAGAGAGAGAAAGAGAGAGAGAGAAAGGCAGTGTGAGCATGGGAGGGTCAGAGAGAGAGGGAGACAAAGAATTTGAAGCAGTCTCCACGCTCTGAGCTAGCTGTCAGCACAGAGCCCGACATGGGGCTTGAACCCATGAACCGTGAGATCATGACCTGAGCCGAAGTCAGACTCTTAACCAACTGAGCCACTCCAGGCTCCCCGGAAGCTCTCATTTTTAATCCTGATAGTATAAAAATTAAAAGTGTTTTTCTTATATCTCAAATTTTAGTCTTGTTCATGCCACATCTATATTTGATACTGATTTCCGGTTGAAAGTGAGGTGCCTCTTCAGTTATATTAAAAAATATATGAGTATGGCAAAGCCATTAAAAATCTGATGAGTTTATAGAACAGATTCATTAAAAACTGTTTCTTTTGCGGCACACATTATACATCCTCACTGCTGGTTTCTGCACTTGACCTGGTATCGTTTTCATCACATCTGCCGCCATCTCATGTGATTATGTGGCTGGCCATGTGGGCCAGCACCCGAGTTCTGTACCTTCCTCTGTTCCAGTGAGCCTCCATTGTGATCTATCTCCATTTTCCCAGTGCTTGTCACCCTGCCCTGCCTCCAGATTTTGAAGCTTGGCACTCTTTGTTCCTCTGGCCATAGGCTTCTGTCGTTGACTTTTCTCTTTCCTTCTATTAAAGAAATGGTCCATTTTTCTTTTTCTATGTAAAGGAAATACTTGTTTTAGAAAATTTGGTACAATGTTTAGAACAAAAATAATGGAAATCATTTGTAATACCACAACCTCCTACCCTCCTCTCCACTTGATGTTTGGCTTGGAGAGCCGGTCCTCTCGGTTTCTTACCTCCAGAGGGAAATTTTTGCATCTGTATCCCTTTCACTCAGCATGCATCCTTACCTCTCTTTGTAATAGGGATGTCAGTGTATTGGATAGTATGTCTTATAACTGGCTTTATCCTCATACCTGCCATATCTGCTGCCACTCCTTTCTTCTTTCTCTTTGTCTCCAAAGAAGAGGTGTCTGCTTTTCATAACTACCTCTATGAATCTTTCAGATTATATTCCGTTTTACCTTCTCCAGGGCTGTAACTTACCAGCTGGTCCTCTTCTGCATCTTTAGTTTCTTCTTTCCACGTCTCTTTTATTAAAAAGGTGTATATTTCATAGGGGCTCCTAGGTGACTCAGTTGGATAAGTGTCCAATTTTGGGTCAGGTCATGATCTCACAGTTTTTGGGTCCCGTGTTAAGCTCTGTGCTGACAGTTCAGGGCCTGGAGCCTGCTTCAGATTCTCTGTCTCCCTCTCTCTCTGACCCTCTCCCGTTTACACTCTGTTTCTCTCTGTCTCAAAAATGAATAAGCATTAAAAAAAACTTTTAAAGGTGTATATTTCTTCTCTCTCTAGAAAATACCTTTTATCTACCCTGCTTTTCCCTTAAATACCAGTACATCTTTTTTTTTTTAATGTTTTTTTTTATTTATTTATTTCTAGGAGAGAGAGAGAGAGAGAGACAGCGTGAGCAGGGGAGGGTCAGAGAGAGAGGGAGTCACAGACTGAAACAGGCTCCAGGCTCTGAGCTGGCAGTCAGCACAGAGCCTGACGCGGGGCTCAAACCCACGAACCGTGAGATCATGACCTAAGCGAAAGTCGGACGCTTAACCGACTAAGCCACCCAGACGCCCCTAAATACCAGTACATCTTTTCCTTTCCTTTATCGCTAAACTCGAACAACCATTTTCTACTACCTATATTTAATGTCTTAACTTCCTTATGTTCTTGTACCTTATGAGTTCTGTTCCCGCTAACTTACTACAACTATTTCCGCTAACATTCCTAATTTTCTGATGGTTAAATCCAACCCTTATCCCATATTGCTATGGTGTACGACACTGGCAGCTATTTTTATGAAACATTTTCTCCTTTAGTTTCTGGGATATATTGTCTCATGATTTTTCTTTCTGTTTTTGGTTGTTCTTGTTGTTCTTTTCCTTGTCTGTCTGTCTTTCTTTCTTTCTTTCTTTCTTTCTTTCTTTCTTTCTTTCTTTCTAGTTAGCTCCTCCTCAATTTCCCCCTTAAATGTTGGTCATCTACAGGGTTCCATGATTTCTGCTCTTTACTTCTTCCTCATGCTTTCTCTAGAAACTCAACACCCTCCTGTGACTTTACCTTCTGTGTGCTGATGTCTTTAGAATCAGTGTCTCTATCAATGACTGATCTCTTTTTCTTTGAGAACATCTTTCCAACTTTTTTCTAGATATCTCTGTTTATTATTTTGTTAGAATATGGTGTTCAACATGTCTAAAACATTTCAATCTTCATGCACATCAGTTTCTCTGACTTTACACACTTTCTATTTTTTTTTTTTTTTTTACACACTGTTTCTATTAACGATGTAAGAATTCAGCTAACTTTTCAGGTCTCAATCTTTATAGTTATTCTCTACTGTTTCTATTTCAGGTTCATGTCATCCGAGAGGTGGCTTCCATGGCTCAAGAAAAGCTTGGAGTGTCCTGTGAAGTCATTGATCTGAAGACTATACTACCTTGGGACATGGATACAGTTTGCAAGGTATGAATAGAGAGTTGTTAGAGCGTCATTTCCTTAAACTCTTGGGCCATATTTATTGGCAGTTTGCAAAGAATTGTTTTGAAATTTTGAGCTTCATGAGCGTTTTCAACTGATTGAAAACTTTAAAATTTACACTGTGACAGAAACATATGCTGTATAATCAGCTTAATGTTCAAGGAAACCAATCACTTGGCGGCTTTTCTCCTCCATAATTCTCTGTTTAAAATATTACAAAACTGGAGTAGCACAAATAGAAGCACATCAGGTATGTTGGAAGCCACCTGTGTTTTTAACTGATTATCATTTGAAGTACTTATGATTTGATAAGTGTAGTTTAATACAGTCTGCTAAATGGCCTAGCTGAACTTTCATTTGTCTCCTCTCCAAAAGAGATGGAGATGGATTATGTTAAAAACAAAAAAAGCAAAAAAACCAAACCAAACCAAAACAAAAAACAACCTTCTTTGCATGGTCTTAATACTGTGAATCACAGGTTAAATGTTATATCGTGGGATTCTGGCAGCTCTTAGTTCTCTATGTAAGCAAGCTCATGGTAGTCTCCTCTCAGGAGTAGTGTTCAGTTCTCATTTATTTGGCTATAACTGATATCTTTCATATTAATGTACAGATAAACCAAAGTGCATCTCTTCCCACTATGGTATGTAAGAAAGATTAAGCCCTTTTTTTTGTGATGGTCGTATCTACTAAAGTTTAGGTAATGTTGCCTATATTACTTTTTCTTGATTTACTCTTGTAACAAATGAGTCATAAGACTGAGGGCATTTTACGTTTATTATTTTAAAAGAAGTTTAGTGTTCTCATAGCTTTTATAGGCTGTTTCTTGGGTTAGTCACATGAAAAAAATCTGCAGCAAATACTGATGTAAAAGTACAGCACAGGTTATATTTAGGTAAAGATTGTTTTATAATTTAATGGAAGATTTAATATTTGTTATAGTAAATGTTCTGTGGACTCACTTGACGTCATCTAAACACTGGACATGGTTAAAAATGGTCTCAACAGTATTCTGTCTTTAGATTTGTAGTTTCCATCATTGAGGGCAGTTTTTAGGTGGAATTATTTGTAACTGCATGGAAGTAATGCTTCTTAAGGCTTTTTCAAATCAAGGTAGTTGCTGGTTTTGATGTTCCAAATCATGGAAAGCTGGAACTGATAGCCTTTGCCTCAGAATGGGCTTCTTTTTTGCAACCTTACCCCCACTTATTCTTGGGGTTTGTATTTCAAAGTGAAAGGTGCTTTTGTATGGGAATATAATGTTTTGCTATGGTACAGTGGGGGTACTGATATGTGGTCAAGACAAGTACTTTTAAACTTTATTTACATTTTTACATGTGCAAACAGAGTTTGTAGCAGTTTATGATAAAATACAAATGTAACAATATTCCAAGCTGGTAATTTGTGAAAGTAAAGTGAAGAGAGAGGAAAAGAGAAGCAAGGGAATTATTTGTTTATATTTCTCTCTACATAATTTGTTTGTGTGGAACTCCCCCTCCCTCTTTTATTAAATCTACTGGTTGTACCTTTGTATGGTCCTGGAATGTAGGTCCTATTTGCTTAGGGCTCTTTACTACCGGAAAAGATGAAAGGAGACGAGAGACCACTACTGCATGAAAAGGTGATGCATCAAGCCTGTAAGTCACCAGCATCCTCACCATAGTCTTGTTTTCGGGTGCTTTCATCATGTTCTTGTCTAGCTGATGACCCTGCAGTTATGACAGGGAAAGCCAGCTTGTCATCTCTTGATTGCTTTGGGTCCTGTGACTTTTCCTTGCTGATCATGGTGATCTTCTTTTTTTCTTTCATGTATCAAAGAAAAATTTTGATATTTGGCATCTTTCTAGGATTTGAAGATAACTTTAAAATGAGGACCCTAGGCTAAACCTTGTTAAAAGGGAGACTTTTGTTGTTGTTTAACTAGAGTTAAGTTTTTCCTATGGATTCTATTGTAATCAAAATTTATATTTATTATCTCTTTCAGTTAGTGCTGTGTTTTATCTGTTTTTGTTTTGTTTTGTCTTGTTTTTTTGTCTTATGATAAAATTAGATCCCTCAGCTCTGTTCATGACATGTTAAGCTCAACACGAAAAATGCATCTTTTGGAATACCTAATCAAGAAAAGCCTATTAAAGGTAAAAAAAAAAATCCTTACTGAAAATACACATTAGCACATTATGCACAGTAAAATGACCCTGGGACAGTTAAGGAATTGGTTACTGAAGCCTGAATTTAACTGTGTTTTTAAAAATATAGTTCTACTTTTTGCTTAAGCCTTGAAGCATTGTTTGGAAGTTATAATCCTGAAAAATTGCTTGGGGACAGAAAGCAACAGAGTTTTTGAATGTTGCTGAGGGGAGCAACAGAATTGGAGACCTGAGTGGGTCTAAGAACCGTAGTTCATTTGCTCAATTCTGAACCTGATATTAAAGGGCTAATCTGGAAACCTCTGAAAAGCAGAATAAAAATTCCTGAGTTTTGAATTGCCTAGGAGACCAGGACCTACCCTGGGGACTTGGGGTGTGAGTGGGGTGGGTTGGCTTAAGAACATCAGTGAGGAGAGTTGAAAGCCCTGAAGTGAGTGGCAAATGGACTCTTTGTACTTGGGGGGACCTGCCAAGAAAGTTTCAACTAGAAACTGAGAATCCAGGTGGATAGACTCCATGTTTAATTGGGTTGCAATGACAGAATGGGAAACTTGGTAGGAGATGCTAGTGGTGGTGGGGCGGGGGGGGACTGTAGGTGTATATGTTAAACACACAGTTGGTCTTCCATTCAAGGTATTTGCCAAATTCTAAAGCTGTGTATGGTGGGAGCTAAGCAGAAAATAAATACCCGAAAGGCCAAGCCATCACTTGGGACTAAAGTGTCAAAGACCAATCATACTCTTGGTTGACCTGAAAAAGGACTGGAAAGCTCTGGAGTCAGGTCTTAGGATTTAAGTCAAACCAGAAGTAGATCATCGCTTCCCAAATCCACAGCACAGCCTCTCCACCTCTCAGTTCCTTTACTGGATTAATGTAACTTCTGCTCTGTCTGCCCAGCAAAACAAGGAGACAGTCCTCCCATCATCTGGAACCTCTATGAATCTGCATTCAACAAAAAATTAATAAGTATATAAAGAGGCAGGGCCATTTGATTCAAAACCAAGAGAAAACAGAAAGCAGAAACACGGGTGATCCAGATACTGGAGTTAGCGGACAACGACTTATTTATGTTTAGGAACACAGAGGAAGAAAAGGAACAAAAGAGATAAGAGGGTGGAGAATTACCCTAGAGGGGTGTGTGTGTGTGTGTGTGTGTGTGTGTGTGTGTGTGTGTGTGTGTGAGAGAGAGAGAGAGAGAGAGAGAGAGGACATTTTAGAACCAAAGAAATATTTGTCAATAAGAAGTTGGTGGATGTGTTTATAAAGTTATTGGACTTAGTAGATGATAGTATTAATGAACTAGAAGGCAAGTATGTAGAAAATGCCCAAACTGAAGCACAGATTGGGGGAAAATAAAATAGACTAAAACAGAAGAATGCATAAAACACATTGGAGATCTGGTCAAATGATATGTACCATATATGATTTGAATTTCAGAAGGTAAAGAGAGAATGAATTGGTCAGAAACAGTATAAAAAATATTTCTCATGAAACTTTCAGGACATCACTGTAGTCAAGAGGATTTGTGAACCTGTAAGGGTGTATTAAAAAAACAAAACCCACACTCATGTACACAGTGGGATGACATCTTAAACTGCTGAGGATGCCCAGTGAAAACTACTCTTAAAATTAAGATGAAATAAAAAATACTTTAGACCAATAGAAATTGAGAGAATTAATCACCAGCACATTTTCACTAGAAGAAATACTACAAGGAAGTTCTTTAGGCACAAAGAAAATGGTCCTCGAAGACAGTCAGAATGGGGCTTATGTGGAGTTAAAATATTCCGTTGTTCTAGGATTATTAAGTGTAAAATTTTTATTAGATTATAGTACATTAGGGATGCATGTTATAACCTCTGAATTAACAACTGAAATAGTAGTGAAGGCATATTCCCAGCAAATTAAAAATGGAACTATAGATTAATAGAAATATTTGGTTAAACTAAAAGAAAGGAAAATATATATTTAAAAAAAAAAACCCCCAAAAACCCAAAAAGCAAAACAGGTGTGTCAATAGGAAACAGAGGATAGATAGAAACCCAAGTGTATAAGTAGTAAACACAAATGGATTAAATCTAGTAAAAGGCTTCATTAAAAACTTCATTAAAAATACCAATATAGGGCACCTGGGTGGCTCAGTCATTTGAGCATCTGACTCTTGATTTCAGCTTAGGTCATGATCCTAGCTGGGTACTGGTGGGATCAAGCCCCATGTCAGGCCCTGTGCTGACCATGGAGCCTGCTTAAAATGCTCTCTCTCTTTCCCTCTGCCGCTCTGCCCAACTCATGCTCTCTCTTTAGAAAAACCAATCAATCAGTAATACCAATGTGTAGCTTAAGAGAGATACATTAAATATAAGGACACAGAAAGTTTGAGAGGAATGGAAAAAATACCACTGGTGTAGCCATACTAATTTCAAATAAAGCTTTTAAGGCAAGACACATTGCTAGAAATAAAGAACATTTCATAACGCTAAAGGAATCCACCTTCCTTGAAGATGTCACAATTTTAAATCTATAATGTCCTCAGTAGCATAGTTTCAAAATATAGAAGCAAAAACAAAATACAAAACTAACAGGAGATGTAGACATATCCACAGTCATGGTGGGAGACTGACTACCTTCTTAAAAAACTGATCAAACAAGCAGATAATATCAGTAAGTATATAGAAGATCTGAAGAGTTAAACTTGCCCTAATTGTGTACTCAACTATATAAGGAATCATTCTGTTTTTTTTTTTTTCCATTAAAGAATAATTGACATACAGTATTAGTTTCTGGTGTAGAACATAGTGATTCAATATTTATATACTTTATGAAATGATCACTACAGTA